CACAACCACCGAAGATGCTGATCACGAAGAAACTGAAACTTCCGCCGACGGTGATGATGCCACAACCACCGAAGATGCTGATCACGAAGAAACTGAAACTTCCGCCGACGGTGATGATGCCACAACCACCGAAGATGGTGATCACGAAGAAACTGAACCTTCCAAAGGCGGCGATGACAACTAAGATTTATGTATCATCACGTAATAATTTACCACCAAAACTTAAATCCATCCCCACGTGAGAAAAAGTAAAGATGGATATAATCGGTTTATGTTCGCCAGCCGGACAATGAACCCTAGTTCGGAGTAAAAATTAGGATATTATCTTTTACTTCGCGATTTAAAAAAATTATTTCACACTATTTTATTTTTTAATAGATAATAAATAAACATTTATTTAATAATGGTAACATGATATGTACACAGTTAAAATTTGATATATCGCAATACATGCGGTAGACAAGGATTAAATAAAATTATTAAATACAAGTTTATTTTTTAAAATTTATTGTCCTACGAGATATCTAACATCGGATGTCAAATGCTTTTCGAATAATTAATTTTTCCCCGAAATCTTCTCCTAACTGGGACGAGTACGCAACACAGTAACGCGTATAACGTAATGGGATTAAATAAATACTGTAGAAGGGAAATAGCTTAGAAAAAAGAGTTAGGAGGTTTTAGGATAAACAAGCTTTAATCGCAAAACCGGTGATTACCTTTTGGGTTGTAAAGACACTTGAAAGCCAGCAGTAAGTATTAAGGGTTCTAGAAGCTATAATTAAATCCATACCTAAGTAAACCAAGTTTTCTGCTTATTCACTCGAAGAGCTGGTTCAGGTTAGCGACTAACTCGCCGGTGACAACATAGTTCAGTATGTCGTCAACCGTCTGTGGTTAAATAAAATTTAAGCCGTAACCTTTAATCTTTATTTTCTTCACAAAAACAGATTCTTATTTCTCTCTTCAGAAAAGTTCGATCGCTTTATCTCGGGTAAGTAACTCTAGTTCAAAATTATTTGCAAATATCGACTAGTGACTTCCAATGAAAAATTATCGCAGAAACCAGCAATTTCCTCCTTTGTGAGTGAGTACTTCAAATTGAATACGCAAATTATATACTGTATATTATCCGCATACAAGAAATGTTCCCTCATAGTAGTCCAATTATAGTTCACCATTTTTATCGTAAAAATTATAGAAGAAAAGAACTGTTCGACCTTGGCGAAGAAAAAAATTAAATAACATAAAAATATTGAAATTACACACGTATTAATTCTAAAATCACCATTTGTAGAAAAATGATCAATTATTTATGCTTTCTTGTAGAACCAATTTTGGGAATCATAACGAGCACTTATAGCGTGGGCACCTGAAATGTACTGTAAATCGATTGGATAGCAAAAAAATACTGTATATTAAAAGAATAAAATGACGAGGAAACATACATTTAGCAGAATTGGGTTGATCTTCACGAGTCGAAGTGCATAGGTAATATCTGAGAATGCACCTTTTCCCGCCGGAAACTACGAAATTGTTTATTGAAAACGGCGTAGAAGGATTACTAATAAAAAAAGAAAGAAAAAAAACTTTCGTTTTTATCAGGATCCATTTAAAATTTTTTGGACCATCGTGTGAATTGTAGATAATTAAAGGACCTGGTACTAACGATTGATATACTGCAATTCATCAGTTGGTTATTATGTTCGAACAGAGACTTTATCACACATCAGATAGACCAGATTGGTGGAAATGCATGCTAAATTATAAATACAGTATATAGTTTATCTCGTTTGGTATTCCGAGATACTGTAATACAATTAATAAAAAAAATTTTCGGTCATCTATCTACCTTTTGGTCATCCTTGATCACATTCTTTTTGGTTTATTAAGGCATTTAAAAGTAAAACAATTTTTTTTTCAGTCATATTACACTCTAGTATAAATTACTACACCAAACTGAATATTTTAATACCACACTCTGGAGCCATAGGAATTGCCGGAGCATTTGTAGCAGTACTATCTGGATCATGTTGTAAGGGATAAAGAGGGAGTGTTATTCTCGTACCTGCATCAGGTATCGCGAGATGTGGCTCAGGAAGATTGAAACGGCGCAATAGAAGAGTATACGGGTATGAGAGACCTTACAGTATGTAACGAACGACGATACTACCATCCGTCACGTGATCGATCTACGTGAGATTCGAACCTGGCACGACAGGTCGAATTTATGATCACGAAATGTAACAATGAGAAAAAAAATATTGTGAAAAGTAAATTTTTGCGTTATAATACTTTATTTGATTTTCTATATTTGTTATTTTCATGTGTTTAATTTATTTTAACCAATTTTAACATAATAAAAAAAGGCAATTATTTTGAATAATATTTTAAATATGTATCGTAATTATTTATGTTAATTGGTTTAATGATTGATTCTCAATGAAATATCATCGCAGAAAGTAGCAATTCCCTCCTTTGTGAGTGCTTTCAGATTGAACATGCGAATTAAATACTGTGTATCATCTAGAATTCTTTAGGTAATTTGAAATAATTTTTTTCTGATCGTATACAGGAAAATTTCATTTAAAAGTAGTTCAAATTATAGTTCATCGTTTTTTATTACGTGAAATTAGAACTTTTACAAGGTTTGTTACCTTTATTAGAAACAATTAAATATAATGAATTACATATTACAATCTAACTTCATATGAATTCTATAACCATTACTTATGTAATTAAGACCAATTATTTATGCCTTCTTGAAGAACCAATTTTCGGAGTAATAACGAACACTTATAACGTCTCCTTTTTTGTAATTAACTCCGCCTAAAAATGTAAACCGATTAATAATTTAATAATGCTAACAAATGCTGTATATTAAGAGGATAAAATGGCGAGAAAACATACATTTAGCGGAACTGGGTGGATTTCCACCTTTGGTCTTGAGTCGAAGTGCATAGGTGATATCTGAGAATGCCCCTTTTCCCACAGGAAGCTACGAAATTGAAAGTTTAATGGTTATCGAAACGGTACGTAGAGGTCACTCATTAAAAAATAAAGAAAAAGAAAAAACAAACCCTCGCTTCTATGAGAATCCATTGAAGATTTTCTGGACCATCGGGTGAATTGTAACGAATTAACGGTCTTTCGTAAAGTATTGAATCGTCACCGGGTACTAACGATTGGTATACTGCAAATCCTCCGTTGAGTGCTGTGTTCGAATAGAGATTTTATTACACATTGTTCGGATAGACCAGATTGATGAACATACAGTACATAAAGTGTACTCACGAAAATCGGTGAAGTAATGACGACCGATGATACAATTTCCATCAAGTTGGAAATTATTACGATCATTTATCAAGAATGACTCAACGTAGGCTGTAATTTATGTGAAGGATGTATGATTTTAGCGTTGTTTATATGAATCGTGAGCAACTGGCGTGAAAAAAAAAACCTTACTGGTATTCCAAAATGTGGTGCCATTAGGATAAGCAGCACAAGTCCAATTTGAGATACCGACGACGTCTAAAGCAAATTTGAATACATTATGTGCAGGAACCGCAATTTCATTAGGAACTTTGAGATTTTTTGGTTGTTCTGTATATTATGTTCATGGACAGTATCAGTATTTCGTCATTGCATATTTCGACGGAAAAACAAAACTCAGGGTAATAATCACCAGTAATAACTCCAATCTTATCTCTTACGCATTTTTTCTCATGTTTGTTTGGAATAGAAGTTACAATCATGGGCGAAAATATCACAAGTGAAATCCCCACCAATAATAGAAAGGATAAGAAATTCTTAGTCATTGTTTTTATCTTCAGGCAGATTCAGGCGAGAAATGTTTTTTTCCAAGGGACGGCCTTTGGTAACTTGAGACAAAAACGAAGGATTTTATAAAGATTTTACACCTTCTCATTGAGCATTTGGTTAATCGTTAAACAATGTTGTGTTTGACTTAAATTTTTTCCGTATTCCATAGTTGTTCGTGGTGCGATTTTCGTATGATCACATTTTCCAACAATTCTTTATTATTTGTCAAGTAGGCAGTTATTCGACGATGAATTTACTCGAATGAGAATAACCATTATGAATCCGCACTTTCCATAACGATCCTGCATCGGTATTACTATTACCAATTCTGGTTATATTTGTAAGATGCAATGCATATATGCAGTAAGGGGCGCCCATAATTTACGTTAGACAAGTGTTCTAATAGGATCGTACATGCATACATACTGTATACCGGCAAAAAAATAGAAAAATCATTGCTTACCTCCATGCGCTAACCTATCGATAATTGTTAGACAATTTTAATTAATAAGATTTTAAGGTCAATGGTTCAATAAAGCACTTGTCATCGATGTTCGTTGATAATGGAATGATTCTGTGCGACACCTAGATCAAACAATGCAATGGAATATGGTTGATAACTATAAAAGCTTTTAGAGGAAAAATTTATTAATAATGTGCCGACATCATCAATATAGGCTCCAAAAGATGAAGTGCATCAAACAGAAAATAATATCAAGGTTAATTACTTTACACAAAGATTATCTTATACCATCCATGGCTGCCCCCAAAGAATTTGATGCGTTAAAAAGATTTCCGCGGCGAAGATGATCGTGATAACGAAGTTCGGAATTATCAACTAACTAGAAAATGATAATGAAAATAAAGTAACTATTCGTATTAACCCAGGTTTATAGAATGACGATATTCGATAATTGATAATTGCAAGGTATTATTGTGATTATTCTGCAAAACCTTAAAAGTATTCTCAAATAATTCAAATAAAGTTTAATAGAGTTCAAACCTCAAATAGTAAACTCTGATCGCGTTACTCGAATGTTCAACCTATTTGTAACTTTGTTAGTGCGATTGATAGAGAAATTTGAATTTGTGATTCTAGCAGAAGATAAGTATTCTTAAAGAAATTTGGTTTGAAGGAAAGTTAACGAGTATATAGAAAACTTACGCGAGAAATAACTCGGAATATCAAATTATCAGATGATAAATCTACTTTTTGCCGGTAATAAGTATGTACGTACAGTATATGCACACATGCATCGTATTTATTATTTAGTTAGAAATTTGTTTATGTTTAGAGTTATGCAGTACTGCACATAGTTGTGCGCAACCAAGTTGGTATTGTTAGGGGCAGAATGAAGGTTGAACAAACGCGACTTTGTCACGTGACATATACGAGAATAAAAAATAAAGATTGTATAATTGGAATATAATTTGTCTTTTTGAATTCTACAAGAGTTCCATTTGCTTGGTTATCTTTTTTTTTCTGTTCTTTTAATTATTATTGTTGTTGTGAAGAGTTAATTGACTTCTCAAGTTGTAGAATTTGATTTTAAAGCTGGGACATGAAAAGATTTGATCCGAGTATCCAATAAACTCTATAAAACTTATCACCTTTAACAAAACCAATTAGCATACACATACACAGCATATAAACAATTACAATTCCAAATTATTATTTAAATTATTACAAAATTACTATTATATAAACTAAACAACTATCTAATCTATTACACAAGTTTTACAGATAGTAGTTGACATTTATTAAAAGAGTTGATTTATATAAATTATTGGCAGAATAAGCAGAATAAGCAAATTAGCGAAATAAGCAAATTAACGAAATAATCAAAATAAGTCAACAATTATAGTAATATAGTTAAAATAAGCAAAATACTAAAAATTATGAAAAAATAAACAAATAATTAAAATAGTTAAATAAATAAGCAAAATAATAAATAATGTAATGATTGACATATAGTAGATTATAAATTTGGAATTTTTAAAATTTTTTATATTTTAGCAAGATTTTTTAATATTGTTAATATTATTTTGATAAGTCTGTTATCATCTTCAAATCAGATTCATATAACACCAGATAAGTTAGGTCACCAAAAGCATATAATTTGATTTTAATCAAATTTTTTCTTACTAACAAATTTTTTTCTTTTTCTTTTTTTGTTACTTTCTTTAATAATTATATTGTATTTATTTATCTGCAATATTTCAGATTATTGAGTTTAAAAGTAATTTTAAAAAACTTATTGAAAACTTATCAAATATACTATATATTGCTAAAATAAACTATTCATATTTCACCTGACTTAAAAATCTTCAAGAAAAAAAATAAAAGATTAAACTTTGCAATTGAACTTTGCAATAAATCTAATAAATACAAAACAGGTTAATCAATCCAAAACTCAATAGCTACTTTGTAAAATCATTTTAAATTTTCAAAAACACTTGAAAAAATTAATATAAAAATATAAATACAATATTACAATAGGAACTAATCAAATTCTAAAGAATTAAAAAGATTTTAAAACAGTTTAAATACAAAAAATTTCAATTATAAAGTTAACATAACTAATAGAATATGAGTCAGATCCCAAATTCAAAAATCCTATGTAAAGATTTTTAGGAAAAACAAATATCTTCAAAAACCAATTTCCAAGTAATCAAAACAAGAAAAAAAAAAAGGTGATAAAAAGTGACATCTAATCTAAAAATATATATTGATAAAGTAAAATAAAAAACTAATATATAAATTTATAAAATATAATAAAAAATAATTAGTACTAAATTAAAAACTCAATCTGAATTTATAGTATATGATCTATAGAGATAATCTGCAGATTATAACTTTATAATACAAAAGTAATTTTAATTCTAATTAATAGATAAGCAATATATCATCTTTATAAATCATATTTAAAAATTTTAATATTGTAAATAAATAAATTGAATTAAAAAGATTTATATAACAATTTTATTTGTAATAATTTATTATAATTTAATAAATAAACAATTACAGTTTAATTGAAGGTTTTAAAAAATATATATATGAAAATTTATCAAAATTTTAAACTTAAAATATGTTAAATTATAGTTAAGTTATAAATATATCAAATAATTATATTTTATTTAATTAAATATATATATTACTAATACTATTATATTATAGTCAAACTATTAATAAATGTTTATTAAATAAATTATATTGATTTAATATCAAGTAATACTAAACAATACAAATTTGATTTGAATTTAATTATAGAAAATATATATAGTATAATTTGCAATAATTTAATATATCAAATAATCAAATTTCAACTAGTTTTTTATTTATATTTTTTGAAATTAGTATAAAAAATTATTTGATAGAAATATGTATTTATTTAAAGATGAATATATCTGCAAAAGAAAACAAAAACAAATAATATTCAATCAATAGTAATTTAATCTATTCAAATTATTCAAAATAAAATTTGACCACAACTATTATTAATTAAAAAGTTCAAGTATCAATTACAAAATTACAACCTTTATAGAATATCAAGAACAAAATTAAAAAATGAAAATTTATAAAACCTAATCAATTATATGCCAATTACTAGTAGTTATCAAAACTAAAACTATTTTTTAAATAATATAAAGAAGAATTTAATAATTATTTTAAAAATTATTTTTGTAATTCAATTTAATAAACAAATATCAATTTTGTCATTTACTATTGTACTACTCTTAAAAAAAATAATCAAAAAAATCTGATGTAAAAACAAGATTCAGTTCAAGTAATTAATATTCTGGTACCTCAAAATTAATAATATAATATTTAACAATATTATTAATTGAAAAATTATTTTTTTAATAACAAATTATTAATAACTTTAAATAACAATCACAAAACAATTTTTTTGAAATCAAAAACAATTAACTTTAAAAAAAAACAAAAGACAAAATCAATTATTTAGAATTGTTCAAAAATATAAAATAAAGTTATACTCTATTTAATATATAATTATTTAATTAATATACAGTGCCGGTTATAAGTAACCGTACACCTTTTAAAAATTCAAATCTAATCCAATTGTTTTAAAAATGTTAGGACAAATAGTTTATCAC